CCGGAGTAGACAGGCCCTCCCAAGAGAGGATATGGTACTACCTGCCACTTGGGGGATGGGGACTATCTGTAGGTTAAAAATAGTGTTAATTCCCACGCAGAAATGAGAAATCAGAGGGAAAAAACCCCGAAACACTCCACATTTCTGGTACAAGAGGTGCATCTTTGGAACTCGGAGTCCCGGTTAGTGAAACCAAGGCCTCGCAGGAGAAGTCAGCCACCGTCCCGGAGGCAGCAATAAATAGGTTTAAAAAAAAGAGAGAGAAAGAGAGAGAGAGAGGGGAAAAAACCCCTAACAAACAAAAAAACCCCGTTATCTCTCAATCCTAATCGGTAAGCTTAAAAAAGTCACTTAAAAAAATCATATGCCATTTTATTAGTGCATAAAAATAGGTTCTGGAATCCCTGTTTGTCTTGTCTTACTTTTTTGTCTTTCTTTGCTTGGGTTTTTTGTTTTTAAATCTGGATTTATTTTAAGCTCTGCGTGTTTCTCCGACAGGCGTGCTGGGGCCAAGAGGCCGCCCGGGGGCTGGACCGCCGGCCCTCCTGCCCCACGACAGGGTGCAGAGGCTCCGCCGGGCAGCACCAGCCCAGCTCAGAAGATGCTGGGACATTGGCTCCAGTCGTGCTTCTCCTTGCTTTCCCAGTAGCCGCCCTTGTAAATGCAGATCAGCTCTCCCGTCATGGGGTCCACCTTCCTCTCAAACCAGAGGGGGATGTAGCCTTCGTAGTCTTTGCCTGCAAAGGAAGCAGGGGGCATGGGGGGAAAAACACACCCAGCAGGTTTTGGTGCTGACACGGCAAAGCCCAGAGATCCTCATCAACTGTTCGGGATAATCAACGGCCCAAGTCTTGCACCCATCCCGTTCAACAGCTCCTCGCTCTAAGACGGTGTTTTTCAACTTTGGCCACTTGAAGATGGGTGGACTTCAGCTCCCAGAATTCCCCAGCCAGTAAGCTTTAAGATGTGTGGACTTCAACTCCCAGAATTTCCATGTTGGCTGGGGAATTCTGGGAGTTGAAGTCCACCCATCTTCAAGTGGCCAAGGTTGAAAAACACTGCTCTAACCCACCCTAGCTAAACAAGATGGGCTTTGGTTAGAACTTGAGATGGGAGACCACCAGAAAATGCCAGGATTGTGGATTAGCACGCTGGCTGGGGAATTCTGGGAGTTGAAGCCCACACATCTTAAATTCGCTAAGGTTCTAAGAGGTTTCCCTGAAGATGCACCAGAAGAAATGGCCTTTTGTGGATTGGCACAGACAGCACACCGACTCAGCGTCATGCTCTGGGTGCCACTGGTGAAGCAATGTCACTGGGTGGGTCCAAGGAAGCGTGCCGTCTCTGTCATGGCGCCCACCTTGAGCCTCTCCCTGGAGACAAGGATGGCCCCAATCTTGCTGACCTTCTGGAAGGCTGCAAAGATCTGGCTCTTCCCCTAAATCCAGAGGCTGGGGTGGGAATGGAGCTCTGATAGGGGTGCGAGTGTATCTGCTGTTCCTGAGATTTTTTTAGGGGCCTCAATTGCTGCTTTTTATGCTATGGATTGTGATTTTGTTTTCTTTTTACCTGTTTGCCTACCCAGAATGCCTTGGTAGATCGGTGGCCATATAAATACAAAATAATAAAATAAAATAAAATAAAATAAAATAAAATAAAATAAAATAAAATAAAATA